AAAAAAAAGAAAATTACATACTTTCCAAGGAACATGAAGTATTCCTGTTTTGAACAGATCCAAATTTTTCCCATGCCAACTTCGTAGGTAAACTAGGTCTTTCTACTGACTTTACCAAAATTTTGTAAAAATATACCCAGTACCTTCTCACATTTTTTCCCCAGAGCAGGGGGAACTGTGGTGTAAAGAGAAGTCTATATACAGCTTTTTTTTTTTTTTCTTTCTTTTTTAAACAAATCCAGTCATTAAAAACAGGGCTGCAGAGACAAGAGAAGGGAGTTCTTTTCTGTTCTGTGAAGTCTGGTTCTCTCTGAAGCAGAATTTCATCAAACTGAATGTGTTATGAATTTTAAATATATTTGAGGCTAAAGGAGGAAAAATAAGTATGTTGTTCTTTCTTGTAGGCTTGCCTTTAGATGTGTCTGGTCACTACCCTGGAAACCTGTACAAATGGCAACTGACGTCAAGAAAAGAGAAAAAAGCAGTGCTGAGAGCACACACTGCATGCATTATAGATGATTCTGAGGATGGAGGCTTTGCCGGCACTAAGTGGCTTTAAGATGAGGATAAGCAATCTTCCATTTCACAAACATCTTTGAGATTTTAATTTAAGCAAAGTGACATTTCAATTATTAGCTTAAGTGTTCTGTCCCACCATAACTGCCAAGGCCATTAAAATGTTTGGCACTAATAAATCTCAAAATGAAGTGGAAGCTGCACCCTGTTTTGAGAATAGTTTATCCCAACATTATGAAAAAAATTCAGACATACAGCAAGTTGAAAGAATTTTACAGCGAACAACCATATACTCATCATCCAGATTCTTCCATTTTCAGTGTACTCAACTGGCCTTATCATATGTCTGTCTGTCTTCCATCCATCGATCCATCCATCCATCCATCCATCCATTTATTCTTTTAGCTATACCTTAATCCACCCAATTTTGATGCATTTAAAATAAATTGCAGACATGAATGCACTTTCCTTGTAAATATTTCAGCATGCATATCACAACTAGAATTCAATATTCATTTATAGGTTTTCTTTTGATATAACATCTACATACAATGAAATGCACAAATCTTAAGTATACATTTGCTGTTTTGACAGATGATTAGTTTCAGAGCATAGTGGGCTAGTTTTTTTAGATTTATCATCTTTTTTTTTTTCTCTAGGGTCTCCACACATACTATTCTTTTTCTTTCTTAAAAGGAAGTTTATTTTCTAGAGGTGTTTTAGGTTCATAGCAAAACTGAACAGAAAGTACATAGAATTCCCATGTACCCACTGCACCAACACCATGTACAGCCTCCCCCACTGTCAACATCCCAACCAGAGTGGTATATTTGTTACAATCAATGAACCTAAATTGATACAATCCATAGCTTACATTAGTGTTCAGTCGTGGTGTTTTATATGCTATGGGTTTGAATAAATATATAATAATATCTATCCACTATGGTAGAATCCTACAGAAGTTTAACTGCCTTAAAATCCTCAGTGCTTTGCTGTTCATCTCTCCTTCCCCTGGTAACCACTGATCTTTACTGTCTCAATAGTTTTACCTTTCCTAGAGATCACATAGTTGAAATCATACCTTCCCCTGGCACCACAGATCTTTTTACTGTCTCAATAGTTTTCCCTTTGCCAGAGATCACATAGTTGAAATCATACTTGAATTTGCATTTAACAAGTTCAGAACACTCTTTTTGTAGAATCTAAGAAGTGACATTCTGAACCTATTGATCTTTTACAGGAAAATATGGGTGTGGTGGCTCATACCTGTAATCCCAGCACTTTGGGAGGCTGCAGTAGATGGATCATGAAGTCAGGAGATTGAGACCATCCTGGCCAATATGGTGAAACCCATCTCTACTAAAAATACAAAAAAATTAGCAGGTTGCAGTGAGCTGAGATCGTACCACTCCACTCCAGCCTGGCGTATTCATATTTAGGGCTGGATATTAGTCTAAAAAAAAAAAGAAAGAAAGAAAATATGAATATCCAGCCCTAAAAACTAGAAACAAGCTATCTGTAAAAATGCTTTGTGATGTGCTGTTTTACATCACAGAATTGAAGCTGTGATGTTGGTTTTCAGATTGGCTTCGTTCACTTAGCAATATGCATTTAAAGTTTTGCCATGTTTTTCGTGGTTTGATAGCTCATTTCTTTTTAGCATCCCATTGTCTGGATGTACTTCAGTTTATTTATTCAGCTACTGAAGGACATCTTGAGTGCTTCCAGTTTTTGGCAATTGTGAATAAAGCTGCTATAAACACTCATGTGCACGTTTTTATGTGGACATAAGGTTTCAATTCATTTGAGTAAATACCAAGGAACATGATTGCTGGATTATATGGTAAGAGTAGGTTTAGTTTTATAAGAAGCTGCCAAACTGTCTTCCAAAGTAGCTGCACCATTTTGCATTCCCACCAGCAATGAATGAGAGCTCCTGTTGTTCCGTATCCTTGCCAGCATTTGGTGACGTCAGTATCTTGGATTTGGGCCATTCCAACAGCTGTGTGGTAGAATCTCATCATTGTTTTAATTTGCATTTTTCTAATGACCTATGATATTGAGCTCCTTTCCATATGTTTATTTGCCTCTGTATATCTTCTTCGGTGAGGTCTCTGTTTATGTCTCTTGCCACTTTTTTTCCTTTTTTTTTTTCTCCCAGGGATAACATCACTATTATAGTCTCTTGCCATTTAAAAATCAGATTATTTGTTTCTTATTGTTGAGTTTTAAGAGTTCTTTGTATTTTACATAATAGTCCTTTATCAAATATATTATTGCAAATATTTTCTACCAATCTGTAGCTTGTCTTCTCATCCTTTTGACGGTGTGTTTTGAAAAGTTATATTCATTTTCCATTAAACAATTAGTCTATTCAACTGAGGGGAAAACTTGGTAGACAAGATGATTCCTGACATCATGTAATCTACATTTTAATGCAAGAAACAACAATAAACAAATAAATGAATCAATATATAATAGGCATTTATGTGGAGTTGCTTGCTGTAAAGAAAATGAAAACATAGTAAGGGGTTAAAGAGTAGCTGGAGAAGGATCACTCTGGCTGCTGTGTAGACCTCATGGGGCCAAGGTAGAATAGACCACACTGGGGGCCAGGGAAGAAGTGGGTTAGGAATCTATTGCCCTCATACAAGCAAAAGACAATGCGGGCATGGGCTAGGGTGGAAGCAGTGGGTGTGGTGACAAATATCCAGATTCTGAGCATTTCTTAAAAGTGGCACTGGCATACCTTGCTCATGGATTGGTTATAAGAGAAAGGATTCCGGGATGAAAGCTAGGTTTGGACCTAAACAACTGTGTGAATAGTGGTGAAGTTAGGAAGAGGGTGTGGAAGAAAGCGGGTAGGGGACCAGGCTGGGGGATGGGACATTCAAGTGAATATTGAGGAGATGTCCAAGCAGGCCATTGGGATTTCACCTGAAACGTTAGGGCTGGAAATATTTGGGAGTCTTCAGTATATGGACAGTGTGCTGCATAGCTTTGTAGCCTTCCTAATTCTCACTCCATGCCTCTCCACTCTGCTCTTTACCTTCAGATAGCCTGACCTGTGAATTCAGTCAATGAACTCCGACCCCTGGTTTCCAGCTGGATTCAGCCAGCCTTGTGGCAGATCAGAAAAAAGAGCAAAATTAGGTAGTGTATTCCCCCAGCTCCCCACTGAAGATTGCCTGAGTCCCTTGACCAAAAACCACAGCTCCCATCACACAGGCTCCCTAATAGCTGTTCCTCTCTAGGTGCAGTCACTGCTCCTGACTGAATGAGGTTGGATGAGATCACTTAGGGAGCGTGAATAGATAGAAAAGAAGAGCTTTGACACCCTAATATTTAGAGGCCAGAAAGAAGAGGTGGGCTCTGCCAAGGGGGAGTCTATGCTGCAGAAGAAACACAGGAACACGTGGTGTCTGGTGTCTGGGTAGTGACCCAGGGAAGGTAGGCTCTTCAAGAGATAGTTCTCCTGGTGGGGCATGGTGGCTCACGCCTGTAATCCCAGCACTTTGGGAGCCCGAGACAGGCAGATCACTTGAGGTCAGAAGTTTGAAGCCAGCTGGCTAACATGGCAAAACCCCATCTCTACTAAAAATACAAAAATTAGCTGGGTGTAGTGGTGCACAACTGGAATCCCAGCTACTTGGGAGGCTGAGGCATGATAATCGCTTGAACCCAGGAGGTGGAGGTTGCAGTCAGCCGAGATTGCACCACTGCACTCCAGCCTGGGCGACAGAGCAAAACTGTCTCCGTGGACAAACAAAAGAACAGTTCTCCTCAAGTGTCCCAAGCTACTATTTTCCTGAAACTCTCAGGACCTCTTCTTGTTCCCCCTCATCATTCTTGACTTTTTCCTTCTCTCAGGGTTGTTGAACTTGCTTTGCAATTAAGCTTTAGACACTCCCAGATCTGCTGATATGTTGTGTCTGACCTCAGGGGAGGTGATGGTTTGAGCTTTGGTCAGAGGCTCTCAGCAGCTGTGCATATCTACAGATGCATCAGGTATGGGAAGGAGAGGGACACAGGGGAAACCACCAGGAAATATACACAGACAACTTTTTTTTTTTTTTTTTTTTGAGATGGAATCTTGCTCTGCCACCCAGGCTGCAGTGCAGTGGCACGATCTCAGCTCACTGCAACCTCCAACTCCCAGGTTCAAGCAATCATGCCTCAGCCTCCTGAGTAGGTGGGGTTACAGGTTCACGCCACCACAACTGGCTAAATTTTGTATTTTTAGTAAAAATGAGGTTTCGCCATGTTGGCCAAGCCAATCTTGACTCCTGAACTCAAGTAATCCACTCACTTTGGCCTGCCAAAGTGCTGGAATGACAGGCGTGAGCCACTACGCCTGGCCAGGCAATTATTATTACTATACATTTTTTTGAGACAGAGTCTCGCACTGTTGCGCAGGCTATAGTGCAGAGGCGTGATCTCAGCTCACTGCAGTCTCCGCCTCCCGGGTTCAAGCAACTCTCCTGCCTCAGCCTCCTGAGTAGCTGGCACTACAGGCAAGCACCATTACGCCCAGCTAATTTTTTTGTATTTTTAGTAGAGACAGGGTTTCACCGCATTGGCCAGGATGGTTTCGATCTCCTGACTTTGTGATCCACCCGCCTCAGCCTCCCAAACTGCTGGGATTACAGGTGTGAGCCACCGCGCCCGGCCACAATTATTTTTAAATAACACTCAGGTATTACACTGTGAATATGGTCAAAGCAGGAACAATTTCATATTCACCATCAATGTTCAGAAACTAACACCCACTTCACAGCTGCAGCTCAATAAATTTTTTTTGAATACTTTTTTAAAAAAATGATATATTGCAATATAATTATAATATGTTTTTGGTGCATGAAGGCACCTTTACAGACTTGACAATGTTAAATTGCCCTAGTATTACACATCTCTGATTATGCTTTTAAATGTTACAAATTACCTGAGTATGAATGTACTTTAAAGAAAAAAAACAGCATTGTACTGAGAAGATGAAAACATAAACTCTGCAGAAACAAAGGATATGGATTTAGGTCACTAGGACTCTCGGGCCATCAAATAAATGTATTAGTACTGCACTAGCAACAGTTTTGTTTTAAAATGTGACACTGTTGGCCGGGCGTGGTGGCTCAAGCCTGTAATCCCAGCACTTTGGGAGGCCAAGGCGGGTGGGTCATGAGGTCAAGAGATCGAGACCAACCTGTGGTCAACATGGTGAAACCCCGTCTCTACTAAAAATACAAAACATTAGCTGGGCATGGTGGCGCGTGCCTGTAATCCCAGCTATTGAGGAGGCTGAGGCAGGAGAATTGCCTGAACCCAGGAGGCGGAGGTTGCGGTGAGCCGAGATTGCGCCATTGCACTCTAGCCTGGGTAACAAGAGTGAAACTCCGTCTCCCAAGAAAAAAAAAAAACAAAAAAGTGACACTGTTATTCACTAGTATCTTGGTGCCATTCCCAGAAAGCATGCTTTATGTGATTGTCAAGTTTTTGCAGACTGTTCTCTATTTGCAGCCTCTACGTTAGCATGCGTGACTGATTTCCTCAGCTCTCTTCATCCTTTCCTAACTCAGTTTCGCTGACAAATATCTGTCTCCTCCACAGCGTTCCTAGAAAATATATATATTTATTTATTCATTTAGAAAATGAAATTCCACATTCAGCACAACACTGTTGGCTTTTGTTTGTTTGTTTTCGGGGGAAGCGGGAAGATAGCCAATGTAACCATTCCATTCAAGCAGCTATGGCATTCCTAATTTAACTGGTTGACCAAGGATAAGTTGGGTCTTAGCATCTCAGCTTTGGCAGTACTGGGCTCTGGGCAAGGGGACAAAGTGATTGCTGAACTTCCCCATAGACAGGAAGTGTTGTACTAATCAGGACTCTTTTGGTTGGAAATGGCAGAAATGAAGCCAAAATAAAATAAGCAGAAGGGGGAATTTTCGGCACTCATAAACTGAGGAGAGGGCAGGGCACAAACGGGCTTCCAGGGATGCCTGGGAGCAGGAAGTCAAATGCCATTAGGATTCCTAATCCCTGTCCCTTTCTCAAACTCCACAGTGATGGGGAGTCCCGAAGCTCCTCCCAGGCTCACCACTCCAGCTTCTTCACACGTGGGACAGTCCCTGATGTTTCTGTTCCCATTTAAAAACTCCTGAATGAGGACTTTGAAGATCCATGCTCGGGTCACTTGCCTAGCCCCAAGATCAGTATTTGGCTAGAACCAACTAGTTGGTGTAAGGCCAGGAGCTGTTCTTTAGGAGGAGAGGAGTGCAGTGCTGCAGACAGTAACGGATGACCTCCACAAAGCTCAAATTTTTGACTTGGACCAGCCAGCCTCCTTGAATTGCTGTGATTTATACGTGGTCCTTGGATGAGGACTGACCCCAATTCTCAGTTGCTCAAAAATGCTTTCCCTTCTCACAGTCCTCTCAAATGGATTAGTATTGGCATTTGAGGAGTTTTGAGGGATGGGAAAAGAAAGACCAAGAGAGAGTTTACTGAGGCATTTGCCTTTTGGTGTTTGAGTCGTTAAACTTTTCTAAAACACCATGGGCATTTTTCAATGGTTCTTTCCATTCTCAAAATAGAGAATGCAGACACATTAGAAAAGCAGAAGGAAGTCTGTAGGAAAATTATTTACTCTATAATCAAAATGCTGCTGCCAGGTGACAAAGAAAGACTGACTTAAGCTTCGAGGCAGAAGTGGAGCAGCGGTGCTAGAAAGGGAAGAGTCCCTAAACTCCCTTCCCAGGGAAGTGTGCTTTTGGTCAAGATAAGCAGATCTATCCCAGTCCACCCTCCTTGTCTGCTGTTTCCAGAGCACTGAGCAAATGCAGAGTCCACACCAAAAAAGCCACAGAAATTATTTTCCTGCCCCTGGCATTCTGATGCTCTGATCACTTCTATTGCCTGCCTTTGTGATACTGGGAGAAAGAGTGAGAAAGTACTGACGGGTGCAAACGAGGGTGGGTAACACGGGCTTGGGAGGTGCTGTGAGTGGAGTGATGTCACTCCCAAGTATATATGGTAATGCCCTAATCCCTACTGCCTGTGTTAGGCCATTCTTGCACCGCAATAAAGAAATACCTAAGACTGGGTAATTTATAAGAAAAGAGCTTTAAGTGGCTCACAGTTCTGCAGGCTGTCCAGGAAGCACAGCAGCATCTGATTCTTGGGAGGTCTCAGGAAATGGCAAGGGGGAAGCAGGCTTATCACAGGGTAAGAATGGAAGCAAGAGCGAGAGAACGGGTGGACAAAGGGCCACATACTTTTAAATGACCAGGTCTCGTGAGATCTCACTATCTTGCAGATGGCACAAAGCCACACGGGATCTGCCGTCATCCAAATACCCTCTGTCAGGCCTCACGTCCAGCAGTAGGGATTAGAATTCAACATGAGATTCAGGCGGAGACAAATATCTAAATTATGTCACTGTGACTGTGTCCTTATTTGGAAATAGGGTCTTTGCAGATGTATTCAAGTTAAGATGAGGTCAGTAGGGTGAACCTGAATTCATTTATTCAACACAACTGGTATCCTTATTAGAAGGCAACATTTGGACATAGAGACAGAGAGGGAAAACAGTGCAGACACAGAAGAATACAGCCCCGCGAGGGGACACGTAGTGAGGGAACGGAGGCAGAGAGATCGATGGTGTGTTGTCACAAGCCAGGGAACATCTGAGGCTGCCTGAAGCTGGAAGAGGAAAGGAACGATCTTCCCCTGAGGCTTCCAGGGGAGCATGGTCCGGCCAACACCTTGATCTTGGCCTTCTGGCCTCCAGAACTGTGAGACAATGAATTTCTGTTGTTTGAAGCCACTCCGTTTGTGACATTTTGTTGTGTCAGCCTAGGAGACTGGTACAGGGGTGATGTGGGGGTTAGGGAAGCAACACAAGAAAATGAAAAACATGAAAATACCTCACCGGGAAACCCAGTATGTATGATGTGATAGCATTGATTCATCTATGTAAAATTACAATATGTGCATATGTATAAAGAAACTCAAAAATAGAAAATGAAGAGGAAAAATATCTTCCCTATGTTTTCAGCCAAGTAGAGATTCATTCATTTGGATTCACAGGCATCTATTTTAAAACACAAACATCCTTGAGAGCATTAACTGGAAGAGTTCATTACATTTCATGTAAAGTTTTATAACTAGCTAATCAAAATTCTTTGCTCTTAATGTTCAGCAGAAACCAGTATAGAGGCCTTCGAATTTTTGCTTAGGAGGAATGGAAGGCCTTTATTATCTCAGTATAATTAACTTAACTATTAATTCAATATATTTTTAGGACTAATTCTATTTTAAAATTTTCCCTCGCTATTTGGCTTGTTAAAAATTCTACTATATTTGTTAGGCCAGGTGACCTGATCCTTTGTTTGGGTAGAATGAAAACCTGGCCAGGCACAGTGGCTCATGCCTGTAATCTGAGCACTTTGGGAGGATTGCTTGAGGCCAGGAGTTCAAGACCAGCCCGGGCATCATAATGCCCTATCTCCACCCACCTCCTTTTTAAAAATCAGTTAGGCATGGTGACACACACCTATAATCCTAGCTACTTGGGAAGCCGAGGCTGGAGGATTGCTTGATCCCACGCATTTGAAGCTGTAGTGAGCTACAATTATACCACTGCATTCTACCCGGGGTGACAGAGTGACAGTATAACTCCAAAAAAAAAAAAAAAAAATGAAAGAAAGAAAGAAAAAGAAAACCTAAATAGTGCTCCTTAGTTAGAGTTCTTTAGACAACAAAGGGCCAGGCGAAGGCCAAGTGCCATCTATGGGAGGCTGGCAGTGGTGCCTGCAGTGGGAGAAGGGAGAATAACATGAGAGGAGAAGTTTGCTGAGTTTCATCATATGGAAACTGCTTCTTGATAGCCTTTACTGTCATTTGGCTATTACCTTTCTGACTTGCCAGCATCTGTTTGCTAGTTAACAAACTGTTGCAAAAATGCAATTGCTGATGTAACGGATCCTGCATGCTAACTCTCTGACCCCAAATTTAGTTTGGTCCCATGCTTGGGTAGGTTGTACTCTCTGTTTTGGTTTATTTGACTAGTAACAATTGTCAGATCTTCCCTTCTCCTCAAACTGGAGGTGTGCATGGATGTGCGCCCGGCATGAGGGGTGAGGAATGGCCACTGACAAGGAAGTCTGAAGTGGCCTGCAGCAAGCAACAAGTTTGGGTTTTTTACAAAAAATCATTTAATTTTACATTCTACTCAGTGCTTTATCAGTGTTTAACATTTTAACCCATGCATGGGTTAATTAACGTTTTCATTGACGTTCCTATTAGGTGATTTAATTCCCTTTCTCCACATGCCCCTCTCTTCTGCCTTTGAGCACAAAAGAGGCTCTGAAGGAAGATATGCATGCGATGTGCTGTGGCTTAGAGGGCCTCCTCTCTTTGGCTGCCTCCTTTACTATGTCCCAGGAGAAGTCTCTCACTTTTGGAAACAATTATAAAATGAAGGATTGCCAACTATCTGAGGAAAGCCATTTAATAAATGATAATGCCCAAACCTAACAAATGATCTAAGAAGAGCTTTAAACATGGAAGGTAGAGAACATACACTCCAGCTCGAGGGGCATCAGGCTGGCACCAGACAGAGGAGCTCAAACCCCGGGAGTCTGAGCTCAGCCCAGCACAGGAAATGGGAGTGAGTGAGTCAGCACGAAGCACATTGCAGCGATCTGCTGCTGATGCCCAGCTCTCTCAAGGCCTCTTAGGGAACTCGCACAAGTGCTGCAGGCCGTGAGGCATGGGCTCACAGCTGAGGTCATCTCAGCTTCTAGCCTGGTCAAGATGTAGGCAAAACTCTGAAGAAGGCAAAGTGTAGCCTCCTCCTGTTGATTCTACTTTCGAGTTGTCTGAGACTGCTCTTCCCCAAAGGGCTCATTCTGCAGACATTTATCCTTGTCCCAGTGTCATAGTCTATTTTGTGTTGCTATAAAGGAATACCTAAGCCTAGGTATTATTTTTAAAAGAGGTCCACAGTTTTGCAGGCTTACAAAAAGCATGGCACCAGCAATTGCTTGGCATCTGGTGAGGGTATCAGGCTATTTCCACTTATGGCAGAAGGTGAAGGAGAGTCTGTGCAGAGGTCATATGGAAAGACAAGAGGGAACGGTGGGAGGTTGGGAGTGGGAGGTATCAGGCTCTTTTTAACAACAACTTCCTGTGGGAACTAAGAGAGTGAGAGTTCACTCACAGCCTCCCACTCCCAAGGAGGGCATTAATCTATTCATGAGAGATCTGCCACCCCGAACCAAACACTTCCCATCAGGCCCCAACTGCAACATTGGGAATCAGATTTCAACATGAGGTTTGGAGGGGACAAATACCCAAACCATAGTGACTAGTTCCTAACACCACTCAACTCTTACCATAGATATTTGCTTCTCCTGTTTACCATTTCTGGTCAATACCTGCTGAGACAGGCTTTTAAATAGTAGGGTTTTAGAAGAGATTTCATTTAAGCATTATGTAGATGGATGAATGTGTTAGTCATTGAATTGCTATAATGGAATACATGGCTGGGTATGGTAGCTCACACCTGTAATTCTAGCACTTTGGGAGGTTGAAGGGGGAGTATCACTTG